AGCATCAAGTCTTATTATTCGTATCAATAATAAAGTTTAGAATTCGAGCCCACACTCTATTATTTATCTGGTTGATTGTAATGTAATTTGTAACTATTCCAAATAAACTAAGAATGCTATCAAAATCTAAAGAGCCGTCAATAATTATACCTACATTCATATGCGGGATAGATTCCGTTACAGGGTTGACGTATTTATTTGAGCGTCTGCAAGCAATATATAATAGTATAATGACATCAAAGAGTTTGACGACGACCGAATGAGATCGTGCGTTGTCTTCACGATGCGTGAGTCAGGCGACAGGGTCTGCCCATGTACCACTGCTATGTTAGGGCATGCCAATAAAAAACAAGTTAGCGAGAGCGCCCGACTAAAGTTTCCAGTCGCTAAGCCTAGTCTGCCCAACTGCATAGGCGGCAGTCGCACCAAGAAACTTCAGCAACCATCATCTGAAATTTCCCATCTTATCAATTGCAAATATGTGTTCAAAACCAAATAAATCTATTACATCAGCACTCCGTAATGTGTTTGCAGATTAATTGATAGGAATGAATATATCAACGTTCGTGATCCTGAAAATCAGGAAAAAATGTATACTGAAGGGAATCGACAAGTGGGACAGAAGATGCAATGTAGATCATTCTACGAAAAACATGCGGTGCTATCATACGTTGCTCCATTCCCCAGCAAAAAAAAATAGATCATAATTTTAATGAGAAAATAAAACACAGCATGCTATGAAATTGAATGTTAATATAGTCTTGAATAAGTTTCTTGCTCGCTGTATAGCAACCGCGGATCGAATGTGATAACTACCAGAAGCAGCAACGCCCTATGCTGATAATAAAGCTGAGCCTGGACCACCCTAACCCTAACGTTAGCGTCCTCCTTCAGCATTTGCATAAGTGACAAGCCCAAGCTTCATTAGCTACGCACAACAATGATCTATAGCAAAAACATGCTTTAAAAATCTTCTAATAACAGCTGAAGTTAGATTTTCAGTAGCTAAATTGTGGAGTTAATAATTTGAATAGCCTCTAATTAGGTTCTAAATTGAGTAACCTAAGTTCTTACATTAGATTTACGAATTCCAAGTACATATTAAAAATTAGGGAAGATCAGGACATTTAAATTTGAATTTTTTATACCTTCTGCCATACATGGAAAAATCAGCAAATTATACAATAGTATAATTGACAGGTTTCAAAATGCATTGGGATGGAATGTCATTGAAAAAAATATTTGTCATCTCAATAGAAATATAGAATTTTCTAAGAAATAAATCAATTTGATAAAATTTTCTAAATAATCAATCAATCTAATAGAATTTTTGAAGAAATCAATCAATCCTTATGCATAAGATATACAATGTATAAGAAGGAACACCACAGAAGCATTTCCAAAACAGCTGACAAGTATAGTGACATTTACCTTGCCACTCCATCCACTTGCATGCCATGTCTGCATATTGAAACATCTCAACAACTGAGTTATTTCTAAAATCTATCTTCAACCGTCTTGGGCACATGGCTTGCGGAAGCAGACTGACAACTTTGTTGCCAATCACTTATTATATAAGTTATTTTCATATTTAAGCCTGATTATGGATTAAATTGCATCCGAGTATTTCAAATTCTTATGCACGCTCATATAGTAAAAAAATCACAGCCTACACAATTTTCTTTCAATGGTCAAAATGATGCAAGTTTCAAATGCACTTCAAACTTGGTGGTTTACAGTACAGGATGCTTTACAAATAAAACATTGACACAGTATATATGAATGAGCTAAAAGAGTAATGTAGTTAATTACACCCCAGGTCTATAAATGCAGCTGTGTCTCTCTCGAACATCACAAAAAAAACATCCTCAAATATGGAACTATATGTTAAACGATAATAAATATTGACCTAGTTGAGCCCATTTGGTAAAGAATCCTTGACATATTAAATGAAACCATATATTTTACAATGATTTATGTTTTACAAATACTCTGAATATAAGGCACACAAAAAAAATTAAAACCAGGAAAACAGAATTGTGTGCCACAGTTAATTGTTCAACTTATTTTACAAATTTAAATGATGATACATCTTAACTTTGGCTAATTTCTGCACACTGATCTTGAAAATTTTTTGGTTGATTAGAACATAATTAGAAACTCAGACTAAATTAATTCAAAAACAAAATTAACTTCAATAACAAATCGAACTGCCAAAATTTCACCATAGTATTGAATTCAGAAATTAAAATCAGATCATGAATCCTAACAATTGTGAACTTGTATATAAACCATTACTGCTAATGGAATAAAATAATCACAACCATGGAACACAAACTAGTTTGAAGTTTGATACTTATTTATTCATTTTTAGTGCATTTTCTCATTTATGGAAAAAAATGCACTATTGTGCTTGCCATGTCCGTCCGTCTGTCTGTCTGTCTGTGACCTCAAGTTTTTGTCGACAAGAAAATGCGCTCTCTGTCACTCACTGCAGTGAGTACTGAGTTATATATTTTATTAATTTGTCAAGTTGAACTTTACATTTGGCATAATGAAAAAAATTAAGGGTACATTACAAGACAAGTACATTACATACTACAATTTTGATGATTGAAATTAGGCAAGGGCTATAAAAAATGAATAAAATCATCGACAAATACCACAATCGCCAGCATTTTGGTGTCATTTGCCATTTGGGATGCAATCAAGTCAAGGGTGGCATGTTCCCAAGCTTAGGCTTTCACTATGGCAGCAGCAGCAGGCACAACTTCCGCACAAGCAGGACATAGGCAGGAAAATAATATATTTATACTACAAGCCTACAAGGCTTCTACAAGACATGCATCATACAAATATGCATAAGTAGGGGCAATCCGGGCAGGTTTAATATAATTCCCCGAAAAACCAAGATGCAGAATTGTTTAATCAAAATTTTGGTCATACTTTCAACAATAGTGAGATATTTTTTGCATATTGTGCAACAGAGTGTCACACAATTACTGTCTTGGAATGTACCCATCACAGAATTTTCATGTATCCGCTGACCGCCGTGTAATGTGTATGCACCAGCACAACTTTTAGGCTTAGGGTGAAAAAAAAAAAAATGGATCCACTACCACTGCAGGAAGCAAGCCTGCATTGCACACTTGGAAGTTTCAAGTTGGCACTAGAACAATCCTTATGTCCTGGTGTGGAGGACTGGGCCATCACTGGGGGCTGGCAAATGGCAGCTTTTGAGAAAATAGGCAGCTTAGAAGCAAAAATTATAAACAAAACATCCAGTAATCATTGCATGCCAAATTCACAGGCCACAGCAACTAACTGACTAAGCTTAGATTAGATCAACATATGATATACGGATACATAGTGGCAAAGCAGAAAGTTTTTTAGACTCTCTTTCAAGTTCATTTTTGAGTTCTATATGTTTTATGTAGACCAGTAAAGTATCCTCGATACCTGCATTATCATACATAAGAAATTGGTATAAATCTTGAGTTATTGAGGAAATTAAAAATGAACTGATTCCAAAAAAGCTCTGGTTTGCCACTATGTACGGATATACCTAATCAAAAAGAAATGAATTTTATAATTACATTGAAAAAAATCAGACAATCCAGTCATTCCAGTGTAAATTTAGCTTGAATTTAGGTATTATATTTCTCTGTAACACCTGGACAAAGCAAAGAAGGTTCAAAATCAAAATTTAATTCCAATGATAGATAGGTTCCAAGTTGAACTTGACATAGTTATTGGAATTGGGTGCATGGTGACCTCCGGTCACAACCTCCAAATCGGTCATACATGCTGCCTAAAAAACTTCCTACTACCTAGCCTAGCATCAAAAAAGTAAAAGTTCACACTTGCATGTTAACAAAAAAGTTCAATTAAACCATATTCACAGCAGTCCTAAAAAATTGATTTTTGCAGTGCCAACAGCAGCATAGGCTAGGCCTATCAATAATTCAGGGTGGAATTTAAGCCTTAAGGAGTATTAATGAGCAGCCACAGACCCACAGTGCACAGTCTCACAGATAGTAGGTACATAGCTAACAGACATTCATCAATCATATAAGCACACATAATAATAGAAACTAGACTAGTATTCCCTCAGAACTAGGCTGATTTTTTTATTGTGAAACAGTGAAAGTAACCCAGCAATCCTAGGGTAAACGGATCAATATTCCCTTATTGGATATAATCATACCTATATCATATGAATCGCATGTAAGATGCTAATAGAATCCTGTGCCAAAATCCTGAGCCATATCAATAACAAAGGATTAAAAAGTGTACGTAGATTATTAATAGGCTATAAGACGTGTGGTTTCCTTTCGTTATTTTCTAGACCATTGTGTTTCTGCAGAATTGAAATGGATTGAAGTGATAACAATAACCGCCTTTGCCTAATTAATGCACAGGTATAGGCTACTAGCAATGCATAAAAGAAAACGAGAATAAGTAGGTATAAAAAATTTCAGTGATGTAGCCTATATAAACTAATTAATTAATCAGTGTATATATACTAATACGAATTAGTTTAGTATATATATTAGCATGGGTATATATACTAAGAGGTATATACCTAAACCAATTATCAACTTCAACATGATGTCGGTTGCTACAAATTTTCTAAAGATTGAGTATCATAGAGCTAGGGGGTAAGCGTATTAGCGTATAGCCTAGGCGATAAGGCGACAGACGGCAAGTCGTGCCGGGATGCCGGAACGGAACACCAAGTCAAAAGCCCAAGGCAGAGCAAATTTAACATAATTCTCAGATACGCCAAAAAATTCACACATCATCGGACAAATACTCATTGAAAATAAGTAGAAACTAGCATAATGGAGTAAACGACATAAACTTTCCTTAATCTAAAATTTTTTTAAGGTTTGCAGGATGCATCCATATAATAGGAGAATGCTATGAAGGTCCTTCCCCTATCACACAGAGATGGACTTGACAATACATGGCCGACGAACGTACAAGTTGAAACTTACCAGTCAGTTTTCGTAATTGTAGCGAACTTGAAGATGAACTGTATGTACTGAACTGTTGCTGGTGATGTCATAACAACTTTTACACTAAATTCAATGCAAATTTCACAAAATAACCGCACCTCTGACACAACATACACCCACAATACCACTTCCTACTGACAACAGACCAAAGCTATCGAGTCCATTCTTGGCAGTCTAGAGGATCCATGATTCGTTCAAAGTTCTGGCGTATTCGATTGGTTGTTTTCTTACGCGCTTGGCATTAGCTAGTTTCAAACAATGCCAGCCAACCAGAGTCTCGGAATGGATGCCAAGCGTTGCCAGATGACGGTGAAAATCAACAACAATGACGTCACAACTAAGGCGGAGGTAGAGTCTCCGCCTACAACTCGACACACTAGGCACGTTCTAGAAGTTCAATATTTTAAAAAGAACTAATTAACACTTAATAATAAGATAGCTCAAGAAAATGTACTTTTTCAATCATATATTAGCAATATTGATGCCTTTTCAAGAAAATTTCGCATCTTTTCCCTTGACTTCGTTAAAAAATGTTGTTTGTGGTATTCTAGACTTCGCTTACCGGCCCTAGTTTTGCAAGGTGAGCGCCAATTGCAGCTGTGAGGCGCAGGGAGTGGATGTGAGCGCTTCTTTTTTCCCTCATTCCATTGATTGGGTTTGAGTTCATGCGCCTTTGTGGCGAACGTCTGACAAGATACATCCATCGGTGGTGCATTGCCGACGCTTAGGGAGGAGCTTCACTTAAATGTCAAAATGATAATGTCGGATATTGAGCAAGAAAGAAAAACAATTGAAGGCTCCTGGATGTCTGTGGCCATCACTGCTGCGGGCGATGGTTCTACCTGAAATATTTTGGTGTTGTCACCACATCGAGTAGGCGCTCTGTCAGGCGCCTTGGTAGGAAAGGTAGATGGATGTGGTGGCTGTGTGAGTGTGGCAGCATGAGGTGTGGTGGCTGTGGCAGCATGAGGTGTGGTGGTTGTGGCAGCATGAGGTGTGGTGAGTGTGGCAGCATGTGGTGTGGTGAGTGTGGCAGCATGAGGTGTGGTGACTGTGGCAGCATGAGGTTTGGTGGCTGTGGCAGCATGAGGTGTGGTGGCTGTGGCAGCATGAGGTGTGGTGGCTGTGGCAGTATGAGGTGTGGTGGCTGTGGCAGCATGAGGTGTGGTGGCTG